AAAATGGCAATTTTCACCTGAGATTCAGAGCCAAATTACAAGGGGGTAAAAAAATTACTTCAGAAAGACGGCAGCATCATAATGTTATTTTTACACAGAGATTGGTAGTTCAATTAGTAAAATCTGTTGACTTTAGCAGTCTTTGTTACATTATGTGCTAATGATGACCATTCAAAAATGGGGAAAGAGCACTTTTCAAGTTTTTTCTCCAAAGTTTGCAGGCCTGTAACTCAAGAAGTATTAAAGATATCTTAATGCCCTTTTACATATTGGGTCTTAACAAACTTTCCTTTTGGCATCTTAATTTTTAAGGCCCTATATGGTTCAGTTCCAGAGATATTGGAATTTCAATATTGCTCCAGAGGTAAATCGATAAATTGTGGTCAAATTTTCAGTGGTCAAAAACCAAATGTGGGTCAGTTTGCAAAAATATGAGACTTCTTTTCTTTTAAAGAGGAATGTCCGAAGAACAAATAATGTTGAAACTAGATATGCATCTTGTTTCCTTCTGTCAAGACAACTGCATTGAACATACCTATCTGAGTGCCATAAATATTATTTTTCCAAAGTTTGCGTGCCTATAACTCAAGAAGTATTAAAGATATCGCAATATGATTTTAGATTCTAGTTCTTAATAAACTTTTCTTTTGGAATCTTAAATTTCAAGGCCCTGCATCGTTCAGTCCCAGAGATATGGCGATCTCAATGAGGCTCCATGTCCAGATTGTTGAATATTACCCATTTTCAGTACTTGAAAACCAGATTTGGTGACTTTGTATGCAGCTGATACTTATTTTATTTAAAGAACAAAGTCTGAAGAAGAAATAATGTTAAAATTAGAATTGCATCTTGTTTCCCTCCATCAAAACAATGATACAATGATGGTGGTGTTCACACAATAGAGCCTATTTACACTAAGTGAAAATATCAGTATTTTAGTGATATGCTATTTACACTGCAAATAGCTAGATTCTATTTATACTGTGTTAAAATAGCAGGATATTCTGCTAATTACTTATTGCAAATAGTGGCAATTATCTGCACCTCAGCATTGTAATACATTATAAAACAGTATGCAATAATAACTTAGTGTAAATTAGAATTTTAATTCAAATTATTAAATGGATGTCACCTTACTGGGACAAAAGCCCTCCCTACACCTACCCTAACCCAACCCGATACTTTTTCAACTTTTTGATTATTTCCTTCATTTTTATTAAAAAATAAATGCTTTTCTGATGTGATTTGAAATTTGAAAAGGGAGAAAAAAGTTTGCCAAAAGGCAGATTTGAACCCGGATCGATCGTGTCAAAAAGAGTATGACACATGCTTTACCATCTACGCTACTGAATCTGACGACTGATGGCCGTCTTTTGTAAGGTTGACTAGCCCAATCACACGTTGGTGGGTGGCGTTAGTGTAAATAGCCTCTTCCAACAAGGCGGGCTATTTACACTTAGTGTAAAATAGACACTTCCGATTTTTTTAATTTTTTTATTCCCAACAGTTAAACAGTTGCCCACAGAAAAGAAAACGGGGAAAAAAATATGCTGCAGCACCCCCACTTCCCGTGCCTATGATGTATACACAGAGGAATGGCTTACTACTATTAGTGCAGCAGGGAGAC